CATATTAACTGGACATCGATCTCCTATGTTCGATGGCATGCCGACAGACTGTTGCGCAGGATCCGATCATGGGTTTGCCTTAGGTACACAAAGTAAATATAAATTGGGTAAGCAAAATCCCACTATTTCTTAACAGTCTATCGTAGGGCGAATATTTGACTAGATGTGCTTCGTCCTAACTGAAAGTAACAATGCTTTTCTTGTATTTATTAGTCAGTGATTCCGCGGCGGCTCCTTTCTAGCACCTGTGCAGAGAATTTACTGGGAGGCTCAATAAAGTAACTGCAGTTTGATAGACACGTGTATGCCAGCAAGTGACTAGTTCGCCTTATGCTTTGAGCATTTCCGGACGGATTTAATCAATTCCGGCAGCCTTTCCATTTTTCAAGCTTTTCACGGCTTGTCTAATTTAATCGACAGAAACAAGAATATCCTTTTACTGCTTGTCATGGACGATCATGAGTCATCACCATGAGTCATTCGTACATTGATGCGCCGACTACTTTATTTGCATGTTGTGATCTAATCGACTACACGTCGCCACGTAATCAGGTCAAATCATGCACTCTATGCATGCATTAGAATATATGAGAGCGCAATTTACTACGCGCCGATCGTCGAGCATATAAACCCATCGTTTTGTTACTTGTGGGTTATGTTGTACCGTCTCGCCTTGTGAGAGTTTGCTTTACCCGGCTCGGCCATCACAATAATCCTATATTCAGACTTGGCACTGTGAAGATACAAAACTGCTGTTCTCTGGCGAGTCTTCCTACGGTTGCTAAGGGTTAAGGATTTCCTCTAAGTACTCTCTTTATCGCCGAAGAATGTCATCGTCGTCGGCAACAGGATGTCTAAACTGGTCCTTCGTGACTCTTAGAATGCCCTTCTTTTCACCTCGAAGCAGGCGGATGGTTTCCCAAAATGCCTCCTTTGCCGTCTGAAATGCCTCACCGAACTTCGACCAGGGAACAGCTTTGGTTTTCGCTGCAGAGTTGCGTGCTTCTACGTATCGCATGGCAGTTGAGCGATCTTTGCTTTTAAGCGATTTCTTGGATGCAGCCTCATTGTAGGCAGGCAGCTGAACTTCTAGTGTCTACCCACGCCAACCCGTTTGAAGCCTCAGCATTCCGCGACAACCTAAGTAAACCGAGCCTTAGCACCTTTAGCTGCTTCTATATCAGTGGTCATCACGGGAATCCATTCAAACCGTCGTGCGATGTTGTTTGCAAGTTTTGCCCTCGAATCGACAGAAGATAATGTTTTATGATATGATTATTTGTCTGCTTCTGCCACCAGATCTTCAAGAGGTAGTCCGCTTCTTACGGCGTGTCCAACCAAAACAAGATTGTGATCGGATTACAGCTCTGCGCCTACCTTTATACAAAAATCCATTACAGAGCTTTGTAAGTCAGACGATACAATTATCAAATCGATCATCGACTTCTGTTAATAAGCTTCCCTGCACCAGGTATAGTGATGCTCAGGTGTTTAAAATAAACTATCCATCTTTTGCACAAAACCGTAAAAACTTCATGCCGTTATTCTTGAGGTCGCTAGGGCCGTTCTTTCTAATCACGCCTTTCCACTTTTCAGTGTTTACTCCGAAATGCGCACTTAGATCCCTCATGAATATGTGGGACTTCGTATTCAGTACTTCGTATAGAGCACACTGCCCTTCTTCAATGAAGGGTTCATATTCTCCCTCTAAATTGGGCGCATAAACCTGCAACAAAGTCAACGCTTTAGTCTGTTGTAGCATTAGTGATTAAAGATTGCCACCCTTAAGCTTAAAGATTTGCAATCAATGATTATATCACCAAGGTTAGGTTCTACCAGAACACCAACACCTGACTGAGCACGCGGCATGATATCGACACCTGAATAGAGTGGCTTCCATCCGCAGACGTTCAGAATTCCAGTCTTGGCTCTTCGATGATGAGCGTCGAATTACTTGGTACCTTGCGGTGTCACTAATTATTATCTGCTATCCCGCTGACCGACTGTAGCTCCCACTGGTGCTGTCGTTCCAGTGAAACCTTTTGTGACGTGCTATAATGGCACCATGCTGTCTGCCTCCTCAGTTATAAACGGTCAGCTACTCCGTTGCTGATTGGTATCTTCTTCGATCTTCGGTAGCCGTTGTTGTGTTGCCACGCTACCAAGGACAGCTGCAATTGTGCTGCTAGAAGGCGATGAGCAGGTTCTAATCGACTTTTATACTCTGACTGAAACCCAAAGGGCACTGTAACCCGGGTGACTACCGAGTTGGCATAGTGCTCAATGACAGCAAGCAATACTATGAGAGCAGGTGGCTCAGTGCTCAATTCTCATCCTTTCTCACCCGGCCTTCAGACCGGCAACTGCCTAGATTTGAAAATTAAATCTTTTTTTATTCTCTGAGCCTACAGCTCAACTAACTTTTCTCCGTTGTTCCCCCTACACAACACTTTCAGTGTCATCATTAACCTCATCCATCCATCCGCTTCCCATTCACTATTCATTTCTTGTTTCTTTGCAGTAGATTTTGCTTATTCTTATGCATTATATGTATATTGACTGCTGAAAATGATAATCGGTGCTAGTTCTTAGTTCTACGCCGGCAAATTTAACCAATAAATTCTTTTAAATGCTTGATTATAAACACCCTCTATAATGCAGGAGCTTCCCTTTATTCTGATATGAAATCAATTACATTCGGACTCACAGCCCCCCAACTGTCTCATTACAAGTCATCTTCCTCTTCTAAATGTTTTGCTGAGACGAAGGTCCTCGATACGCCATTGTCCAATGAGCTATACTACCTGCTGACATTGATACTCTGCCACATTGTACATACACCTTGGTTTTCGTTTGACTTACTCTTTGTTTCATTCAACTGCTCTTCG